TGGTCAAAATATCGCACTCCTATTATTTTGTGGACAACTGTATGTATGTACATATACATATCTAAGTACATACATATATGTTCGTTTAAGGAACACTCGAACGTTGCTAACTCATTGTTCGCGTGATTTAGATTACACCAGTAAAAGTATCAAGTGGTTAATATAAAAAACCGCCATTTAAAGTACTATGCAAGATGTAGACATCCCTACATATGTATGTATGTACATGTTTAGATAATTCTTGTTTTCCATGCTATATTTTACTATCATTAAGAATATACATACATACATACATATCGAGCCCTAACCGCCAAAATAACGTAAGCGACAATTTTTTCAAAATTTTATTTTTGATGCAGAAATGCATCTAGAAGCTCTAGGAATATTTCTGCATCAAAAAGAAAATTTTGAAAAAAATGTCGCTTACGTTATTTTGGCGGTTAGGGCTCGATATGTATTAACACTAATAATGATTATCAATTATGAACATAAGTACTAGTAGATATGTATGTAAATATGTTTATAAAATTTAGGTTTCAATAAAAATACAGTCAATGTTGAAATGTATTTATGAACATATGTACATATGTATGTACATTAGGCTGCATCACCTAAAGAAGTTGCTGGTTTTCCGTCGGGGTTACAAAATTTATTATGTTTGAAGACGTCCACCAAAATATTTCGGTAAAATATTAAGATTTACGTGAGCTGGACCGATTTGAAAATTCCTAAAAAAATTTAGTTTTTTATGAATAAAAATGGTTTCTCAAAGAACTTTTTGAAAACAAAATCCCCTCGGATGACAAAACATATTAAGCTTAAAAAATTTATATAAAAATATTTAAAAACCTTTCCAACAGAATCATAATAATGACATTTTTGATGTTGTTTTTAACTTTTTTCAAAGACTGATTTACGAAAAACTTGAATAACTGGGCCAAAACTACTTCGATTTAGACCTATAGGATATCGGTAGAAAGGCATTTTTATTTCTGTGCACAAAAAACTCATTGACGTCCCAATTAACAAAAAAACTCTTAGTAAAATGCTATGAAACCTATTTTCATAATTTGGAAAACTCTAAATTGATTTTAGACCTATGGTTTCTTCGGCAAATTTGCTTACAATTACACGTACAATCTTCCTGTGCTTTACGCGCATAGTCGAAAAAGTTCACCCGCCCTAACGTACATACACTTGTAGCATGTAGAAGCAAATACTATTAGGGAATATTTATAACGTCATGCATTTCTCTTTCTCCACAAGGCGGCATTTCCGTTTTTTTTTATTTGCCCACCAAACAATTTTTGTTGCCGGCAATAAGAAAACGTTTGGCCTTTGGAAACAACTTTGCTGGTAATATTGCCATCGTATCGATTTCCTATTAGTAGTGGCTCTAAAACGTCCGCCGAAGGCAAACCGCGTGAGCGAGTCGTTTTCTTATCGCTTCAGGCGATATTGGGAATAATTTTATTGTTTTTAATACTTCAATTATTTTTTGTTATACAAAATTGGAACCTTATTTGAAACTAATGGTTTTACCTTAATTTACAAAGGCCCTAACCAGTATTTTTTCGAAACTGCGTTTTTCACAGATTTCGGTAGGATGTATACAAATATACCTGCGATAAAAATTTTAAAATGTTAGTACCAAAAATAACGGAGTACATGCCACTTTTTAAAAGGCCCTACCTGTTTTTGATACCAATTTTATTAAGTTTTTTGCTTCTCCTGTAAAATAAATGACCACGTGTTGATTTCCTTCAAATATTCGTAATGTTTTTCGAGCTAAATTTTTTTTGTTATTTTTATATAAAAATATCATCTTAGTTTTAACCAAAACCGTGTAAATCACAGAAATCTAAAAATTCAACAAATTTTTTTTTTTGAGGCTACTTTTTCGGGTTTTTTCATATAACAAGCGCAATTTACAAAAACTTTCGTCGATATTTTGAAATTTTGTTGCTGACGGTCGTCCGCGTTTTATTTCATAAGAAATTCATACTTATATGAAAAAAGGTGCAAAAATCCGTCGCAAAAAAAATTCTCAAAAATCAACGCAATTTTTTAGCCGTTTGAATCTTGCACTTCATTATACTAAAATTGTATGCGCTATAAAACTGCATACCCAAAAAAATGGATTCCATTATTTATATTATTTAGCTCGAAAAACATTGCGAATATTTGAAGAAAATCAACACGTGGTCATTTGTTTGAGTCACTGTATGTACAAATGTACATTAAGACATGCATGTATATATGTATGTCCATACGCAGATAAGTATGTATGCATATAATTCGCAACTGCAATGTCCGGCTATAATTTTAAACAAACTTCCCTAGTTGAAATGAGGGAAACAGCCCCACCCACCCGTTCAAGCACCATGTGCTTATTTATCAACTCAATGCCACGATAGTGAATTCGCTGCCACACAAATTACTAAACATATAAATTAAAATAAATACTTTTATTGCACAAATACATGCACATATAAAGTATTCTTATACTTACGCCCCAAGTACCAAGACCGAGAATGGGAATCGTTTTTCCATTGTTGAGTAAGACGTCGGGCACCGGCATTTTGGATTAGATTAATTAGTGCAAAAGTCTTAAAATATCCTGGAAGTTAACAACAAGAAAATGTAAAAGCAATTGCAAAGCTAAATACGAAGCACCAACCTCAAAAAAATGGAAAAATTCCGGCGCGAACAATTGACTAAATGACAATGAACAGCTGCACGAGCTTTTATACCTTCGCTACTAAAAGCTTCGGATCATTAAGGTGGTTGTCAACGACACAGCTTTATGCGGGCAAGATGACAAGATATCTGAAAGAAATTAGTTGTACTGTACACATATGTACGTAGTTTAAGTGTATAGTATGTAAATCGAAGATCAAAACGTATATAGCTTTTATTATAGAAATTGCCACATATGTATGTGTTTATGAAATATTTTTTATAAAAAATAAAATGATTTATTTTATTTAAAAAATAAGGAGTTGTAAGAATATACATCTTAACGTTTAAGATTCATGTAAATTCGTTAACTGTATACGTTTATCACCACGTAAACTGACTATTAAAATTTATTGGAAATTCTTCGTTATTATCTATGTATTTCGAACGATACACCGGACAAACGATTCGTCTGGAGACGAATGCTTCTAAAATAAGTCCGACAACAACATTCTAGCCGGTTTCTTTTTAACCGAGACGAGTTCAACGTAATTGTCGTAAAACATGACGAAGACGAACGATAGAGTTACAAAATGGCAAGGAAAAACGATGACGTCAGTAGACAAATCGTCCGTCGGTCTATCGTTCGAAATAGATAAGGCTGATAAAAAAAAGCTTAGTTTGTTTTTGATGGCGATTGGTGTTTTAAAAATGAGGAATACCGAGATGTTGCTCATGGTTATAGTGAATATTAAAAATATGCAATGTGTTTATGGCTGCAATGTTTCCCAACTTTGAATTTAAAAACAGTTTAAATATCGCAGTAGTGTCCAAATATTGTATTGGACGGTTTGGAGGTCAAAGTGTAAATTCCTTCCTAATATATTTGTGTGTTTTAAGTTCAACTAATTTACTAGTAGTATATAACATACATCACGGGTAAAAGTGAAAATTTAACAGTTTAATAATTTTCAGAGTTAAAATGAATACCGTTAATACTTTCCATTTTTATTCTAAAAATGAGAGATTACGGCTATTTTGACTTTAATGACAAAATGAATAAAAATAATTCTTATTATAAACTTTTATTTAACTTGCTTTCTATGTATGTATGTACCGATATGTGTAAGTATGTTTGTTTGGGTCAAATCTTGCTCAATATTTAACCAAGTTACCGATGAGTTAGAGGCATGAAACTTCATACTTAGTTCAGAACAATATATGTGCATATGTATTTAATATGAAGGATGAATAAATCAGCTAGGTGGTGCATTACTCGAGATATAGTCCGATTTGTTTTATATTTGAAATTTATATTATCTTCATGGAAGTAAATAACTCCATAAACAAAATTACCGTTAGGTGGCGCGGAGTCGATATAAATCGAAAACCTGCATCTATGGTCTGATTTAGTTTATATTTAGAATATATGGGTAATTCCATACAATATTTACACCTCAATATTTTTTTGGGGGTGAAACATATTTTTTTACATTCTTTATCGAAAAAAAAGACACCTATTTTTTTATTTTGTCATGATATTCGAAAATCTCGAAAAAAAGTTCCCGAAATTTTGAACTCACGGAGAAGTATGTATCTTCCTTTAATTGTCTGCAGTTAATAAACTATTTGTCGGAGAAAATCAGCTAAGGTATCAACATGTGCGTAATTAACTCGGCTTTTCATGAGTGTGAGATAGATTAAAATATCGCATTTTTTTTAATTGATTTTTTATTAACTTCATCATGTTTGAGTTTTATTTTTTCAACCTGAATAGTTATCAAACTTTATGGAGTAAGTCCTACAGTTTTGGTGTCCATTCTCAAATTTTTACAGCGTACTCCATAAAGTTTGACCACTATTCAGGTTGAAAAAAATAAAAATCAAAAAACAAGCAATAAAAAGTGTGATTTTTAATGCAATATTTTTTATTTTAATCTTCTCCAATGGAAATAAACCTTAACTGATTTTCTCCCACAAATAGTTTATTAACTGCACACAAATGAAAAAAGATACTTCTCCGTGAGTTAAAAATTTCGGGATTTTTTTCTTCATGAAAAATAATAGGCGTCTTCCTTTTTTCGATAAAGAATGTAAAAAATATATATTTCACCCCAAGAAATATTGAGGTGTAAATATTGTATGTAATGAGTCATTACTAATGACCCATATATTACCTACATGAAAAGAAGTAATTCTACAACAAAGGTTGCCAATAGCGCTAATGCAGGAGTTGAGATATTTGGAAAATATTTTTTTACCATTAACTTATTTTTACTATACTATTATTATACGAATTCAAATTAGAAGTTATAAATATATGATTTTTATATATAAATTGAAATAAATATTAAAAGTGTACTTGATTTTGGAATATGATCCGAAAATTATGTTTTATGTTTATTTTTTTAATAAACATATGCAATTCAATTAAGTCTCGACCAGGATTTTTTGTATGAAATTAAGGAAATAAATTCGAATTTTAAAGTCGTGAATTCTTGTTTTTGCATTTCCACCGTTTGCGGTACTCTTCATGTTTCTACGCCATATATAAGCACGGGCATGATCAATTGCCTACTCAGTCCAAAGTAGCACTTGTTGAGGTTGGATTTCGAGACGGACATTGTTATCGGTGCTAATGTTCGCTTCCTATTAAAGGGAATTCCCTACTTTTTCGAAATTATGAATGTCAACAGTGACGTGGGTGCCGAGGCGTGAACGCGCTGACTTTTTTTCTTATAGTTAAATTAAAATGGCAGCACCATAGGGATCGCTTGAAAGACACAATATGCATTTACAGTGACGAGCAAAACTGTAACATGGTGTAACACTTTTTATTTCAGCCAAGTTCTAACGACTTTCACACTTTTGTTGCATATTCTCATTGGTACACCCAATCCAACAACAATAATAAAACCAGCAGGCAAAAATGTAAATTAAGGCAAATGTTACAGTTTTGCACTCACTCTAAGTTTTGCATTTTACAGTTATCTTTTCATTAGTTGGAAGTCAGATGACTTTTTTCTGTATTGTAATTTATTCAAGAAGTCATTACCAGTAAATAATATGGTTAATCAGGAAACATAAATGTAAATAATATATTTACTGCGGCAACGCGGGACCGTAGGAAAAGTGGCAAAAAATTGTGGAGTTCGCCACATGAAAATGTTAAGACTGAGAAAAAATATAGCCTAAAATGTTATTAAGGTCAAAGGAAGTCTGCCAAAAAATATTACGGTCCGATATCTTGTGAACTTATAGTCCGGGAGCCAGCGACAGTTTAGGGTTAGTCATTTTACAAAA